CATAAGAACGAGCGCGGAGCGAGACAAATGAGATAAAAGTATTTTCTCTTCCCCAACCTTTACTCCTAGGCTACCGCGTTCCACAAATTCCTCGCGGCTCTCGTTTCGCTCGCGCACTGAACAACCGCCTCCCGGCTAGCTCAATTGGTTAGAGCGCCGGATTGTGTTGTGCGGGAGGTCGAGGGTTCGAGCCCCGGCCGGACCGATACTCATGGTCTTAAAATAAGTGAGGAGAATTTGCTACCTTTCTATAATCAAGAAATGGATAGATATTCTAGTCTTCTCGGATAAGGACGAATAAACCGTAGGCCCCGTCTCCTGCAGGGTTAGGGGTAGGAGACGTTAATTTCCCACGCACGAGAATACTGTGTTGTGGAAGTCCTCCCTTGGGGTGTGATGGGTGAGAATTGGCCCTGAAAAGCCCCCGTGGGGAGTGGTCAACTAACGTCTGTCTGTCTGTCTGTCTGTCTGTCTGTCTGTCTGTATGTATGCATGTATGTATGTATGTAACAACGATCTTAGAGGAAATGGAGGGTCTGATCAGACTGCCTGTTTCTAACTTCTTCCATATTGTGGTACAGACAGTTTCTGATTGTATTCTTTTTTTCTACAGCGCAATTCTTGAAGTACACAAGAAAGTTGTTGATCAAAGAGACCAGTACGCACACGACGCTGAACAGATGAGGAGAAGCGCTACTCCAAGGTAACCGCTATATATTTGTACAAATGAGTAAAGGCTGATAGTTTCTAAAGAAACTGTTTGGGACTGCGTCGGTGGGGGTAACGAAATAATTTGGATATATCAACAAAGTTGAAATGGTAAATTGGCCACCGTAACGATTACAAAAGCTGAAGGAGCGAAGGGCTAACGCTCGAAACGTCAGCTTTTGTAATCGTTACGGTGGCCAATTTACCATTTCAACTTTGTTGATATATCCAAATTATATATTTGTACATGCTATCTCTACTTCAGTAACCATAATAATGTTTTCATGCCGCCTTGCCAAACCCTCTAAACTGTCTGGTAAGTCGAGTCCACTCAACTCGCTTTCTCCATGATTAATGTTTGCAGACCTCACTGGGAGAAATGTGGTCAGTATATTGAAGGTGGAATAGATCGCTGGAACGAGTTGTCACAGGACAGGAGTAGTGATGAGCTTGTGGATATTTTACTAGCAGAAATGACAGGACAAGATATTGCTATTATACAGGCTGGAGTGAACACGGGTGCAGAATACTTCACTGGACAGGTAATCTAAAATAAGACCTGTGTAATATAAAGCTGCTCTCTATACAGCATCGAATAGAATTTGCGGTTGTGATTGGTCCGGAAGAGTTGCACCACCCTCTCAACCAATGAGGTGCTTCAGACAGTTACTTTGCTTCTTGTACTATTTCCCATCGTTCTGTTCGGTCTTTCTTCACTCAGGACTGGTAAACTGCTGTGGACGCGCTATTTTTTTTCACTCGCCGCAAACGTACACGTTTTTGCAGAGAGAATAGTTTGGAATGTTCTTTCTCTTAATAGGGTACAGGTCCTGAAGTGCCCAAGTTCCTACGTTTTGAGGGACAAGTTCGTAACAGACGGCTAGGAAAGAGAGATACGTCATTGCTTATTAAGGACATCTGGCAAGAAAAGGCTGCCCATGATGCCGAGGTAAACTTGACCGAGCCTTTTCTTACAACAGAAAAAATGGAAAAAAAGGAACACGTTTTGAGATAAAAAAAAAATCAAAGTGGAATTTTTTACACAATTTCAGCTTACTGAGGAACTGAATTTATCGAGTGTGAGTCATGAAATGTTTGCATGTGTCAACCATTTAATTTTCCTTCCCTCGTCGTCATTTAGAAACCGGATGGAGAACGCGATGACTTGGGCGAATTCTTTTACCAGTATCTCCAAAGACGATTTGGTGTCGAGAACATGATCATAGAATGGGGATACAATCTGTACGATGCATGTGGACGGTACTCACACGATCCCAGAATAGGACTGTTCTTTGGCATTCTGCAGAAAGAGGTGTGATTGCCCCTTAACACTTTACAGCCCTGGCACTTGTATACTTATTCTCCATACCGTTTTCTAAGGTGCAACCAAGAAGAATTTGTTTTAGAGATCAAGAGCTTTTTTATGTGGTGGTCATTTACTCTATTCTCGTGATCTTATTGTGTAATTCAGGGGTGATATTGTATGGAGAATGGAGAAATCAGATGCTAGTCGGTCACTCCTTGGGTCGAAAGGATTAATATTAAAAAGGGCGCCAATTCGAAGCCCTCAAGGAGTCAAATGTGAACTCTAGTAAAAGTCATGGCAAATTAGAAATGTGATAAAAATAAACTTATATCCGCTTCTTACTTCCCAGGTCGACGAAGCTGTTCATCACGATCAGTTAGTAATGTTAGAGAAACTTTACAATGCTTTGACTAAAGTTGATCTGGCAGCAGGAAACCAGGCAAGTTCTTGTGTTTTTTGCCTACTGCACACTTGATTTAGTTAAATATTGAGGTTTGAGTTTCTTACTGAGCAATATTGTTCTCTCCTAGGGCACGCTATCCCGCGCAGACCTGGAACAATGCTTGCGGTCGTTTTTCCCTTTGAAAGACGATGAATCAGTTGAAGCGTTAATGAAAGCTTGCGAACAAGAAGCACCGGGAGAGAGTGTACAATATAAAAATCTGTTTACTGAGGTGAGAGTAACAGGGCAGAACTCTAAGCTATGAGATCTAGAGGGTGTTTTCTGTTAAATTCTATCAGTGGACTTCAATTAACCCATACATTTTACAACCTCAAAGTTAGGGTTGGACACTTCAGTTAGGGTTGGACCCTCCCATTCGGGCGAGTGACCCTCAAAATGCACTTGCCTGGACCAGTTTTCACTGGCCCAAAAGTTTACCCCCACCCCCGCGTCTTTCCAACCATTTTAGTCATCTTTTATTTTTACTACTGAATGACCATTGAAATTTAATTCAAGTAGATTTTTTTTCGATGAATCTTCGTGAAATCCCTGCAGTTTGCGAGCAAACGTGTCTGTTCTTCTCAGGAGCGCTCTTTATTTTATGCGCCATATTTACCTGATCACCGATGGCTCGATAGTGACCAGCAGTATTACTTTGTACAAGTACATGTGTTAGGTAATTGTCATTAGAGGGAAGCTATATTGTTTAGCCGAGTGTAGTACGTCACTTGCCTTTCGGAATACGAAACTTTGTAAAATAGAAATGGTAAGTTTATGTTTTGGAATTTTCTTGCCAAAATGGAGTGTAAAAACATTTTTTACTTTGCTAGTTGAGTAATTTCTTGGTGACGAAAATTGCACTCGCCAAACGGGCGAGTGATCGAGAATTTGCACTCGCCCGACACTTTTCACACTCGCCTGGGCGAGCGGGCGAGTGCTAATGTCCGACACTGAAGCCTTAAAGAAAGAGGCTTGAACCTCTCGGAGAGATCTGGGGGGCTCATGACCGATACATACAATTACAATTATCTCCTTTGCGGTCCAATTTTGAGAAAGGAACGTATGAAAACGATTTTTTCTGTTTATCTTTGCCCAAAAAGGACAAGGAAGGGCGGTCTGGTCCATTTGTTGACAAGATCAGAGAACAGGAAAAGCTTGAAAAGACCATGTATATAAAGGATATCGAAAATGCTCTAAATGGCAGCGGGTGAGTCATAGCTATAAACGTTAATATTATTTCTTCTCTTGGATACAAACTCACAGTCCGAGACTTGGGTTAGATATTAGATTTCTTACTTCACTGCGAAGGTATGGACCCCAGTTAAAGCAGATGCAATATTCCAACGCTCTATTACTAAGCTACAGAGAAGAATTGTAAATTTTGAGTTCCCTCGGTTGCTGCATAAAAATAGTTACGACTGTGGGACAATAAAATTCAAACTTTTGTTTTGTCGTTAATCGTTCACAGTGAAGTTTCTGTTGAGGATGTCCGCCGAGCCATTCAGTCCGTTGACCCAGAGGCACCGACTGAGATGATTGATAAATACCTGGGGCGAGCGTTCAACGTCTCCTCTGAGCAGCTGGAGGCTGGCACCAAGATTGAAACAATGCTGTTATTCAAGAGACTACAAAGTGGTAGCGTTAGGAGACTGGGTGCCAAACCGAAATAAACAGACGCAGAATAACTTTTTATCGAAAGTCTTTTACAACCTTTAATTTCAATACGGCTCTAATTTTATTACGATCCAAACTTTTCGTTTAAGAAAATTTTGAAAAGCTATTCCGTGCACCGGAGCGGTAGGGAAAAAAAAAAAAACCTAAATTCATTTGTTGGAGGTGTTATTTAATTAAGTGGCTGATTAGCCTGAGTCCAAAACCTATTTTTTTGGCTTTAAATGTGTAAAATAAAAGGTGTAGATCTAGTATTTAATCAAACCAAATAGCGTCAAAATACTAGTGCTGCGAAAAATGTGGTTGTTCATCGTGGTTATAAATGATACTTTTGTATGTTTAACCGTTTGTCTAACGTTTGAAAAGTTGAAGCGTGAAACTATGAACAAGGAAGTGGAAACATGTTGAAAGAAGTTGAAAGACGACAAAACGCTTTGATCTGCTTTCGAAAGCCTAGCCTGCTTTCGTACCCAGACCTTCAACGGCCAAGCGGTTGTAAGTAACATTACACGGTAGAATCCAGGTACGAACGCACGTTTCTCCGCCCGCGGAAAGATTTAAGACGAATCGGGAGAGGTTTGCCGGGGGATCTGGCACTAATTATCAGTGCAAGACCCCTTTCCAGACCCTTCTCTGGCTCACCTTACCTAAGACGTCATACTCAGTTCCCCGCAAGAGAAGAAACGCCTGTGCCACAGTGCTGATAATGAGGGCCTGCTTGCAAGCTATATTGCTAGCCCGACGGTCCAATTGATAATCGCCCTCGACATTCATTTTAACTGATGTAAGACTTGAGTCTTTCTTGGTTTACAGCGAGAAGCTGTTCTCGAATGTCCTAAGGCTTAGCGGAAAAACTCACCAAAATATTAAAAATTTGACAATTCTTTTTTTAATTTCATATCTATTTCCCTCGATACGGTAAATATAAATTACGAGGGTTTTGCTGTCTGCAACGAACCGCTGTTACGAGGTTCAGCGTTTCTAACTGCTTATTGAAATAACGGTTACAACTGGTTTACTGATGCCACAAAAGCACAACTGCGAGCAGCATACGCACAAGTTGTAACGTTGATCATCTTTAGTGCTTTTTGTTCCACAAAATCTCAACAAAAGGCACTCCTGTGTATGTCGCTTCCATTTATGCTTGTGTCGTAGAGATCCATCCATAAAACACGCAACAGCTAAAATTTTCTTGAAATTTCTACAACGTTTGAAGTAATGAAGAGAATTTCTTTTGAATTCAAAAAGTTTCCTCATTAAAGATTATCATCATCATCTTATTTCTTACATCTAAATAACATCGAAATATATATATAGTTCGGGCTCCCTCTGGCGATAAATCAAATTACTAATTTTTCAACTCTGAATAGTGCATTTCTGATGTTCTGATTGGTCCACTCGACACAGGTTATCAGCTCATATTCCGAGTCACCTTATATGGAAATGCATGCGCATCTATTAGTGACAGTTTCGGCATTTAGGATGGCACTTCTTGCCGCCCACACGACATCTGCAGCCTCCTGAGTTGTCTCCAGTGCCCTAAATACAAGCAAAATAATCAGTCTCAGTCTAAACGTGAGCAGAACTGGAAATTTAGGTGCATTGTCCTTCGTTCAAGTACACTGAGCATTCCCGGTTGCATCCCAACGCCCTGCCCTCCACTCTCAAGCTATAGCCTTCAGGTACAAATGTGAATTGAAAGCTGATTCTTGTTTTTCTTATCCTGTTCAGAATCCCAAGCATACTAAGACTCGTGAAAGGAAGAATGAACACGAAAAAGCCTCGCGCTGTAGGCACCAGAAACTGCCAGCACTGCGAGTTCCTTTCCTCTGTTTATAACAAAAAGAAAAATTATCTTTGGTAACGATGACGTCTTCTACCTTCTTTCTTGTAAGAACAATTAGACCACCCAAAGCACTGAAGTAATGGAAAGCATCGAAGATTTTGGCCCGTGGTTTTGTACACCCACCCCTGAAGAGGCGTGGAACTCGTGCAGCTCATAGCTGTATGACACTTTCCACCATCGATCTTTTTCTGTACAACAGAATCGCAGGCAATCGGACGACTAAAGCGGGAAGCACTAGCCCTGTCTACAACTTACCCCAGGTCCCCATCTCGGTCCTCTGGTGGCCCAGCATATCTCCGTTCTACACATACTGCACCTCATCCAATCACAGCCGTCTTTCTTAACTAAAATAATCTGACACGTAGGACAATGCATTGCCTCTCCACCTTTAACCATACCCTGAGAAAAAAAGCATTCACCAAATTGTTACCACAATGAGTTTACTAATTGCAAGAATAATACGTGAGAATGTCAATTTTTATTTATCGAAAAAATCGCGGACGATCGGGAATTCCACTGTTTCCAAACCGACCCTATTTTTTGCCAATAAATTGGGAAATATAAAGATATCATGTCCTAGATTGTTCTAGAACGGGACCAACTTGCGAATCAACGATTTAATGGTATCCTCGATAATCTAGATAAAAGTTTTTTCTATGTTGAACGATCGTCGACCATCGCATTAATCAGGGGAATGGCGAGGAAAAATGAAACTCTTCCGATGATCTTCAAGCTTTTGCTCCTTACTTTCCTTTGGCGATATGGGACGTCTACGAATTCAAGCATTCAGAACATCATAAAATTTCGAACTGTCGAGAAACTGTTAATTTCCCGAGTAAGTGGGATTCTCCCCTTTCCACTTCATGATCTCCACTGTTTGGTAAGCACCATACGCCAAACGGCGAAGTTCGGAATCGTGCGATCTTTATCCGGCACTCTAACGATTTCAACGATAAGCTCGGTAGCTCGCCGCTGTCCAGGAGAAGAGTCCACAGTTTAAGAACGAACACCGAACCTGAGAAGGAGCCTGGTACAGCGAGCGAAGATAGAGAGCAGCTGGGAAGAAATGTGAAAGCAGCTCACCATTCTCATTATTTTACCTCAAGAAACTGTTGCGTTTTCCTCGCCGCTTCATCATTATTTGCCCTTCTCTTGAGATCATCTTGATATTCCTTGCAGTTCATGTTGGCGTGAATCACTTTGCACGTCAAACAGTTCGGTTGATTACACACCGGACAGTGGAAAGTATTGACATTGTCCTCGTACACACACCACCCCTGACAATTTGGAGTTTTACAATGGAAGCTGTTAGGGGCTTGACTTTCCGCAGTGGCGAGGCTACGGTTTAAGAACTTGTTGAAATCTTCTGGCGAGAGAAGCTATACAAACAAATAAAAGAATAGAAAAACAATTTACCGATTATCTCATACTCCAAGATTGAAATCGAAAATATTTCGATGCATCGCTCTCAAGCCAAAAATAGCGCAAAGCCTCAAAAAGTCTTCTTGGAGTTTTTTGTGTTACTGGGAAAAGGGAAAACAATAACTGTTTTTCTGAACAAACTTCCAACTAGTCGCTTAACATTAAGACAAACGAGGATGTGTATCTTTTCTTTTGGTAATTAAGCTGCATTCAGTGTCTTTAGACCAATTTAATACGAGAAAATGTTCAAAATGTGACTCACTGCTTTGATTTCTTGGCCCGTAATGGTTGCGTGACACGCATAGTTATCATCCTGGTGAGGACACTGAACTTCTGGGTCTGTCGCGTGACGAATGTGCTCACTAAGACAATCCCTTTGAGAGAACAGGGCAAAAGCAATGATCAGATTTAGTAAAGAGGATCTAACAAAGAGCTACGCGCTGTAATTGGCACTAATTGAAAAGGAAACGATTGGATTGGTTGGCTAGTCGTTTAACTCAAGATATTTTGAGCTTCGTCATCTCTTGGTGAGGCATAGTACCATGATCCAACTAAGACAGAAGCATTATTTCACCTGTTTAATCAAAACTGTAACAAAATGCTTGAAAGTGATTGGTTATCAGTAGGAGAATAGTGTATGCCTCATAAAACTGCGGTCAAACGTCTACGCATCTGCGAACGTTGTCATGGCTAGGCAGCGATGTTTGAAAACCGATTGACTTATTAGACAGAACACAAAACAAAATGGTAAATCAACAGGATACCCGTAATAAATAAGCTTTGCGTTTGAAAAGTCTCGAGCTTTCCATGTCCTTTTTCGTTTCCTTTTAAAATAACTCTATGAACCTTCCAATGTTTTCCGCATCTTGCATGACAGCGGTTGTTTAGTGTGTTACCATGAAATTCTGCGCGGAAAATTTGCACGCAGCTGACCAAAATTGGTCCCTTACGCATGTTCGACACTAGACCACTGGGTTATGCGCCATGCTTGTCATTAGACAGTGCAAGAAGACAGTCGTTTAATTGTAATGTTAATCGTTAAAAATAAATGTGCTCTTTTTGGTAAGTGCCTTTTCACCTTTACCTGCAAAACCTGTGTAAACATTCCCTAAGCACAACTCCCTCTCCGGGGTCCACTGGCACAAAGCATATGCCACAATCAAACTCCTCCTGGTTAGGTATAAGACTTTGCTGAGCGGTCTGTAGGAGTGTAGTAAAGTTCCGCTCTCTTGCCATCTCTTCTTCTTCTTGTCGCGTCCGTTCAGCCTGAGAAGATGAAAATAAAGAAAACAAATAACTACTATGATGGGCGTGAACTATCGCCAGACTATCTTATCATTACGCACATCCTAGTGTAAACGGCAAATTTGCTGCACCGTGTAGCAACCTTTAAGAGCTCATGTCTCGCAACGTCTTCGATGCAGCAAGCTTTGCTGAGATGACTCAATTTCTGTTTTGGTAATTGATTGAGTTGATTAGGTGACCCGTTCAAACTGCGAAACTCGAGAATTATTTCAAAAAAGAATAAACACGAAGAATGAAAATACTGAAATGACTGCAAAGGCATGCTCTTGTGAATAGTGGGGTTCGTAACAAGATTATTCCGCAAGACTTGAAGTCCAAGAGATATGTGTTACTTACAGACCTATATTTCATGGCATCCAGAGTTTTTTCCCCCATTGAACTGTCTTTTAGGCAGCGAATAAAACTGACTGAATTGAGATCCATGAGCTTTAGGGAAATTTCTATCATTGTCGGTTGTCACAATAACCGCGGAAATTCTCGCGCGTTCATTGGTCGAGAGCAATTGTCAATAAGGTTGGAGGTCCTAAAAATGACGTATCACGACAGGTAATGCTCAGTAACTGTCCGAGTAAAATTTCTTCGCGTGGAAACATTTGCAAATATCAGAAATATGAACAGCGAAGAGTTTCCCAATTTCAAGACGGGGATACCCGCAGAAATTTTTAAAGAATTGGTCGAAACGGACGAAAACGTGGAAGAAGACAAACAAGAAAAAAATAAAAATTCTCCGTTCGCAACGTGCGTGCGTGATTTTCCGAAAACTTAACCGCATAGGCAGGCTTAATATAATCAAAATTTCATTGTAAAAAACAAAATTGACGGCAGTTTGTTAAATCGCCATGGTTTTTCTTCACTTCACTCCGTGATTGGTTTACAACAAAACAGTCGCGCCACCTTCCCAGTCAATCACGTTAAGAAACTAAACTAATCTTGAATTGACGTAAGTGACTTAATTTCGTGGGGAACTAAACCGGTGATCCTTCTCATCCGATTGGCCCTCAACGGTGCGATTTATTCACTAATCGCAATATTTTTTGCTCTAACTCTCAGCAAATGAGAAAACACCACTAACGCAAAACAACCAATTAGATTAGCTTTCTTTCTAATGACCCATCGAATTACAGGAAAATAAAATGAAAGCGGATAAAGCAGCCACTGTGTAGCAAATTTTAAAACTTCGTCTACGTATTAAATCCATTTTTGGTATTTGGGCGGTTGCATTTTGCGACTTCAAAATGGACGCAATAAGTAGAAATTGAGTTTCGCGTCGTGCACCACGCGTATGATTTCAGACCTAATAATATACATGAGAAAATTTCTCAGTTCTGATTGGTTAAGATGAATGCAGTTTTCAGTTAATTCAGTGCAGAAGAGAGTTAATTCAGTGTAGAAGAGGGTTAATTCAGTGCAAAGAAAGAAACAAACCGGACATTCTGATTGGTCAAGGTCAATGTCAAGGTCAAGGTCAAGGTCAATGTCAAGGTCAATGTCACTTGCAGGGTTTGAATAAATTATTTTTGCACGTGATGCGCGCGCTTTTCTTCTGCGTAGTTATGAGAGGCTACCTCGTATTTTTTCATGTATTTAACAATTATTCCACGAGCGCGCGTTGGATATGAGATGATAGATAGCCAACGAGGCGCGTCATATCCAACGCGCGCTCGTGGAATAATTGTTTTATTAAAAACGCCCCCAAGAAATTATTTTGTAAGAAGAAACTGGATTTTTTAGCTCCCTTTTGATTTTAAGCTGATGCGTACGCTTACCATATTTGTAGATTATGGTATATTGGCTGATATACCATAATGGCTAAGCCAATAAAAAGTCTTGAATTGCATTATCCAATGATCCAGTTTTTAATAAATTATTAATAGATAATCACATGATTTTCTCGTGCAATTTGGAATAAATAAGTACTTGTTATTTTTTCAAAGACCACAAATTGCACTCGCCCTACGGGCTCATGCAATTTTGTTAATCTTTGAAAAAATTTACTCGTGCTTATTTATTCCAAATTGCACTCGAAATCATGTGATTACCTATACAAACAGCACCCCACTCAGCACAATTACCATAATGATGCCATAAAAGGCCGTGCTTTGTGGTTAACTCAGTCAACTGTAATACAACTACCACCTTGTGAATAAATCTCATAGTGAGACGTCACGCAGCCCTCCAAAAAGAGCGTTGACTACCATTTATGGTGGTAAAAAAAGAAAAAGAAAACAGATTGTGTCATCTCCAAATTTATTGCGGAGTGCGAGTCATCCACCAATACCTCAAGTAATTTTTAACATGTACCTTTTATAATTCAATCACTCCAAACAATTTAAAGAGTTTTCATCAAAATCATCTTTTATATGACAGTTAAAACAATTCATATGTAAGGCAAGGAGAGAAGCCCTCCCAGAAACCACTGGGCATATTATCTTTGGTCAACGGCTTTGAAGATGAGTATACATATTTTTTACAGATTATGAACTAATTCATAATTTTTAAAGGTTAAAGAGACCTTTTTTTGTTTGGCACCAAATTACTGATCTATAGATATCGTACTAACCAAACAAAACGCCTATGCAATAGGCTTGACTAGAACATACCAAGGGTAACTTCTTTCCACATTAACTCATTTGAAAATACACTGTTTTATACAAAAGAATTTTCTTCTTCATTGATGTCGTTTGATTTTGATTTTTTTTCCTACTGCTAACTATTTGAAAGGCCTCTACTTCCACCTACGCCCAATTTGGGCATTTCTGCGTTTAAATTCTCATCTTTTCAGACATCGTTTTAATTTTGGTGTTTGAGACCCAGACGCACCTTACAGGTTGTAGGACATACACAAGTGCACTAACCGTTGAGAACCTGTATACGAACCTTTTTAATACCTTACTTAATGCAAAACTACATGCAGTAGTGAAATACTACAAAACATAACTTCTATAAATTTAATCAACATATAAAGCCCTTCCTTAGGGCTTTATATGTTGATTAGGCAAGAACTGGATAAACATTGCTGTCAATTGTGTCGAGTCTTTTCAACGTCACACATCAATCAGTTTCCAGCCGAGCTTCTTGTGAGCCCATGATGAGCTGCCTTTCCACATCCTACGGAAAAGGCGAAAAACAAGATTAGAAACATCTTGCACAAGGCCAAAAAATATCTTGCAAGGTTTGAAAAGTAGTTGAAAAGGAAGTTAAGGAGGTTAAGCACTTCCATGAAAAACTCTCCCTCTGCTTTCTTCTTTGGCTTCTTGAATTTTTTTTTTTTTTTAAGGTTAATAACCAGTTTTTTTTTTAAAATGATCAGAGAAAAGCAGCGTTAAGCCTATTCAAGAGAAAAGCTTCCATTGTGTTTGTTTTCTTTTGTTTTGAACTTCTGTAGAGGGTGCTTATTTCACAACACTGACAATATAAATCCAGTTCTTGCCACTTGAAATATTAAACTTATTAGCAAAGGCAGCCGAGCAGGGGAACAGTTACATTAAATACGTTAGTTAAAAAAAAAACATACCTGTTGGAACAAAGCTTCCGACCTCTCTTCTTCAGCTATTCTTTGCCTCTCTCTCTCGTCCAACCTTGCCCCGTCGGGTACCACATATCCTTGCGGTCTATCTGCACTGCACATCTCACACCCAGGTCTTGTTGGCTGGTTTATATAAGTGCACACACCACACACCCATCCCTCAGGTTGCCTTTCGTCCTCTGCTGGCTGTGCAGTCAGTAACAAATTGTTCACAAACGACTCCCGAGCTGCGGGGTTGGGGGAACTGCGGGGATCCCCTGGACCATTCATGTGCTGTAATAGGTCGCGCAACTGGTAAATAGTTGGCGCAGGAGGAAGGTTGGTCGGTAAAGTATCAGGATCAGACTGTTCCTGGTTCGAAACTGATGATGGTGGACTATCTTGTACTGTTGGTAGCCGCTCCGTTCTGCTAGCTACGGATGACGCTTGACCTGCTCTTTGGCTCAACAAATCCGGGGTGCTCGCGCTCATAGTACGACTTAACGGCCCCGGTAAGTCGGGAGCTCTAACACTAGGGACCCTGGTTCCAGTACCGCCGCTGACTGAAGAAATGGCCGGTTCTGCATGACTTCGTCCAAACCGGTCGGCATCAGTCCTTCTTAATCCCACCGTTTTTCCGGACAAAAGATACAAGAACACTGTGTGCCCTGATTGTTTCACATTCAGATCAAATAACGTGTCCGTGGGCTTGGGTATTTTTTTGCCGATAATCCACTTCTGAACTTGCACAGGAAAACCGAATCTGTCAAAAACCTGAAGAATACACCTGGCCAGTTTCTTTTAGAACTTAACAATAGTTACTTTGAAAATTTATCTCTTATGGGGACCATTTCTGTCAACCTCATTCTATTTATCAATGAGTGCATATAAAACGAGCCTCCAAAGCTCAACGAGCAATAACAAGTATGTGTGAACCACATTCATTCGCCTCTTCTGAACCGTTTTAGATTGGAATTTTTTGAAAAGGTTGAACAATACCTCTTGCTTCAGTCTTTCTATTGTCGCCGATGGTGAGACCTTCATGGTGAATGCTCCTCCACTGGATTGTTTATCCTCAACCACCACCCTTAAACTGCAAAATTAAAATAATTTATTCTCGTTTTTAAACACATTCCAAACTATACAGATGAAGAACACATATCAAATAATTATGTTTTATGCAAATGCTTTGCACAATCTTGATTCGAGTCAAAAACACTAGCCCTTCCATAACAAACGTTCTAGTTTAATTTCGTGTTAAACCTCCAGCTGACGTCCTGTGCGTTGTAAGTGAAGGAGGGGTCCACAAAACACTTTTTAACTCCTACATGGTAGAACAATTGCTTGACGACCTTTCTTGTTCCTTACACTTATCATCGTCAAACCCATTCTCCCGCGTAGAGTGCGCAGATGTTCACGGTGCACCAACTTCTTGGTATAGAGATGTGTAGGTGCACAGGATACAGTCCTTGCAGCCTTCCACGGCATTCCAAAACTCCATCAGGGTTAGGTTGCAGGTTAAGTCGTAGAAGGTCTTCCTCAAATTCGCAACTCTGCCGAGCTCTTTTCACCCACAAAAGGTGTTGTTCCTGTACCTCCTCAGTTATCAAAGGACCACTAACCTTCTTGTTGGGATAACGTAGATTTTGTACAAATCTGGAAATCCACGCACAGATGTTCAGAGCCTTGCGAAGCTCAAACATTTCAAGGACGGCGTACAGCCTATCAGTGTTATCAACAGCAGCCTTAAACAACTCCTTGGTAGCTTTAAGTTCTGCTGTACTTCCTTCAGAAGGTTGGATAGCACGTTGTGGAGGCCACTCTTCACGATCACCTATCCAGTCTGGACCCTTCCACCAAAGCTCGTTAAACCCTACAGCACCGCCCCTGCTGGCAAGATCTGCCGGATTTTCTTGTGTGGGGACATGCCTCCACGATATCTCTGGATGGGCAAGCATCTTCTGCACCCGATTTTCTACAAACTGTTTACCCTGCCCTCCGCCATGGATCCAAGAGAAAGCAACTGTACTGTCCAGCCTTCCGTTTAAGTCAGTGACAGGTAATCCCTATAATGCTACTCTCACGTTCGCTAGTAAAATGGTAACCCTATGCGCTGATATTAACGCATCGGAGAATCGTTATACCCTGTTTCGCAAGCCTTGCTCTAGCTGCTACCAGCCGCTGGGTGTACCGACAGTTCGTAAAATTGATGAATTTTTCGAGGATGGTTTCTGTCGGAAACATGGAGACGCCCCACGCGAGAACAATTTCGTAATCTTTTGTAATCAGATACTTGTTTTGTTTGTACAGTTATTAGTTAACTGATGGACGTGTGAACATTGACTACAATCATCGCATGTAAATTAGACTCTGATCAGTCATTTTTTGAAGCGAAAGCGAAGGCGAAGACGAAGACGAGGTTGTGTTAACGAAGTTAGTAGGTTTACGATACGAGGTCATTTTGTTGTATAATAGGATGAATTGACTAAACGAATCAATTGCAATACAAGTCTCGAAGTTTACGACAGTTTCCACTTATCTTCAGCAACTCCAGAATATCCTTAACATACGCCTTCACCACCTCACAGGCATTGCCATAGTGCTCGCTGAGAGTAGACTTCACTCTCTCATACCCTTCGGCGGTGAACAGCAACCCATGAACGGTTTTCTGACTTTCGGATCAACAAATTCCTTGAGATAGGAAAACTTCGTAATAGCAGCCATTTCAGACTTGTCTATTCCCTCGGAGAATTGACCCCAAAAACGAGTCCAGTCGAGATCAGATCCATTAAATCTTGTGATGGTCAGCTTCGGCAACTTGGCTGGCGCAATGTTTGCTTTACCATTCTGATTTCTCGCCTAGTCTGACGAGTTTACGCTTTCGAGCTCTTTGGTGCCTGTCTTTTAAGTTTTCTCTCAAATAACTCCTCTTCGAAGGCTAGCTGATCCTTTCTAGCCCTTTCGAGTTGCTCTTGATCCATTTCCCTCAAAAGACAAGATATTTTATCTATATCAAGGTCAACAGCTGTAATATTGGTAATAGTGAATAATTGTTTCCATTTTCGGCTGTCGGTAACCTGTCTGCCTCCAGTCTGTCACCCCACGCCAGTGGTGATCGCAGAAAGTTCTTCACCAGCAGCGATTTTTAACTCTTCTACCGTTCGCTTAGCTTTCCACTAAAACGACCACAGCATGAAGAGCCTCCTTATGTCATTTGATTCTACTCCCATTTTGACTCGCAAGAACAGGTTCGTTTTTGTTCTTAGTAATCTGAAGTTGAGTAAGCTTCGTATTGAGATCTTTGAGCGCGCCTTCCATAATTCTCTTAGATTACTCGCGATAAATAAATCCAAGAACACAACAATTTCCCGTTCTCTGTAGTTTGTAGATCAACTCAAAGTCCCGTCGGAGATGCCAATTTTCGGGAATTCCTCCTGAAGTCGTAATCACAAGTTTCTTTTATCAAAAACAACCGTTTCGCTTTATTGCTGCACTCTCAGACAATGTCATTCAAACTCAACTAAAGCTCGGGCCCACTCTCTGACACTAAAGTTCGGGCCCAGCGTCCGACAAAGGAAAGCAAAATTAAAAACTTTCCAAATGAAAAAAAAAAAAAAAAAAAAAAAAAAAACGTTAAAGGACGTTTGTGTAATAATTGATTATAGTAACCTTGCAAAAGTGTATCCCTTCTTAGGTCTACGAAGTTTAAGGATAGAGCAGGCTGGTTGAATAATGCTGAGATTTACTCAGGTGATAAATGCGTTAAAGACTTCATTTCATTTACCTGATTGTATCCGCTCCTGAGTTCATGGTCACCAGAACAGGATTCTTGAGTTTAATACTGAGCGGAAGTTTTTCAATTGTAAACTTTCTAGTGAGCTCTACCGCTTTATCTTGACATCCAGTCCTGATTGCTTCACTCAGACTCAAACAAAGAGCATCTGAAATAGTTTTTACAATAGTCTTTAAGCATATGATTTGTACATTGGGGTTTGGGGCCTACAATCCATAGAAGCTCACAATGTAAATCTGATCAGAAGGGGTCACTGTTAAGACTAAGTAAGATGCAAAACTGGCATTCTTCAAAAGATCAACAGACTTTGACTCACCCCCCTCCCCAAACCCTATATTTGTCTGAATCTTAACACACTTCAAACTTGAAAATTTCCAGTAGCTTCCTGAAATGTTACAATATACGTGTAGTATGACTCGTATATGGATATCTTAACAGTTAACATGCAACTATTGATAACTTTTTTTAAAAGTAGAGCTAAACCACCCTGTAAGCAACCAAGTCAAACCAATAAAGCCACTCATTTTCCTCACAACNTCATTTTGATAACAAAGGTTGCACATGTAACTTGAAGATTTTAGGAACTAAAGAAAGCATCAGCATCATCTCCCATGGCGGCCTAATAGATTCAGTCATGATTTTGTTTACGTAAGAGAGTGGAATTGAGTTCTGAAGTTTGTAAGTTGATTGTCTTTTCCAAGGCAAGTGATGTGAAACAAACTCAAGGGAAGCATTTCATACGAATATTTTTGGCATTTTGTGTACCAGTACACGAGAACAGAGTTTGATGAAATCTACACTAGAAGCCATTGGGAGCTTGATTTGGTTTGAATGTATGACTAACTTTCGACAATGCATACATGTAAAGTAACACAATGCTGAGTGTAGGTTTCTATTATCCATTAGGGCACAAAATTCTATTTTCAGTTGGTTGGGAGCAAAATGTTTACTCTAATTATTGTAATTGGGTTTTGTCGGACTGTATTTTCAATAAAAAACACTGGAAAATTTTTTAATTTTTTAAATTTACTCTAGTGAGCAGCACACAGCAACAGATCTTGTCAATTTCTTTATTTTCTCCTACTTTCTCCCCTTTAATTTTGGGGCTCACGGATTCCGTGAGCCCCTAAATTAAACATTTCGCATTTTTTGCGTCACGCAGGATTTTAGTCATATCCTGCACGTAATGTTTTTAGGGTGTTTTTATGCTGTTCGCACCCTTGTTGGGACGTGATTTGTACTACAATGATTAGGTATAAAATAAGTTCCTTCACTATCTTGTTCATACTCCCTGACGAAGTCTGTGTTATCAGACGAAACCGGTAGGAGAAAATAAAGCAGTTGACACGATCTGTTGCTGTGTGCTGCTCACTAGGGTAAATTGAAAAAATTGGAAAAAAAAAAAAAAAAAAAAAAAAAAAGAGTCGATGTCAGTCAGTTTCACGGATGGAAGATTACAATCGAACGTGCCATCTTTCAAACTGACGTCGATTCACCATTCAGGGGTACACGCTACTACACAGAATACAATTTAACAGTTGCTCTCGGCTTTATTTAAAATTAAGTCAGAAGTCTTGTGATGTTTAAGACAAAAGATATAAAGATCTGCAAATAACATTTTAAAAGAGAATCATCGCTATATTTGTTTTTCCGAAAGGGAACCCGAACCACTGAACCGAAGATTCTCGCCTGAGATCATCTGACGTCGCGTCAGTTTCACAGATGAAAACTAGTGACAACCACGCCTTACGACACTAGACCACGTGACATGCGTTTGGCTCTCGTCGACAAATAAATAAACAAATAAATCCGATGATGTCATAATGTGGCTACACACTTTGTGTAAGCCACACAATGATTTACTAAACAAAGCCATTAGCATCTTTTGTAACTGAACCTTCCAATTTCATAAAAGAAAATTTGGACTAAATTTAAAGAAAAAATATGCATTTAAACAGTGATTTTCATTATAGGGATCTGTTCACTCTCCAAAAGGAATCACTCTTTTAACATATTCATCAACTCTCCTTACTTTCTGCTGACAATGAGTGAAAAGCAAAAGCAATCAAAATGCTCCTTACAAAATGTTAAGGTAGTGACATTAAACAGAACAAATGGAAGAAGTTTATATACATGAACCTTAGCCTAATATTTACATTTTTCCTCTCACAGTATCTTAACAATAGGTGGATTTCTCTTTATAAAAAATGATACTTGTTTGTAGTCTTTACATGCCCTTAAGGTAACACTCCTCATCCCAGTGAAAGTACTTACCTATCCTTGCATCATTCCTTTCTCGAGCCTGTAGTGCAGTTACATTGGGTTGCGCATCTTGGGATGGAGGATCTGATATTTTTTGTGCTGCCAAGGGAGCTGCGGGTGGTTTGTTTTGTACTGGAGGTGGAGGGTTAGAAGGCACAGTCCAGTTTGCCCTTGGATCCACTGGTAAGCTCTGGGCACCTACTCAAAACAAAATGGTTGGTCAGATCACAAATAAAATTTAGTGTAATCTTGACCTATTGTTAGTGCATCACATTTGATTTATCTTTAAGAGAACACTCTTGGCTCCAAGCTCAGAATTTCTGGAGGTCAGTGCAAAATAGGACACTAAAAATAGAAATTTAGACTGAAAACTTGCATGTAACCCTTAGCCCTTGCAGAATTTTGCTACAATGCAAAGTCTAGTAATTCTATGAAATTCTGGTGAAGTCAAGAACGTCCACAACTATCCCTCTTTCCAAACAGAACGAAATACAAAAAAAGTGATACATCTCTTACCTTGTAGGGATCTTAGAGCATTCTGAACTATAATGGAGAATTGACTTCCATTAGAGTCAGGGCTAAAATGCAAGCCATAGATGATACCCCCAAGAAGACGGATCTGATGCCAGGTAGGTTGCACAACCACATATGTCACACTGTCAGTTAATGGCAAGTTAAGTGTTGGCTGCCAGTGAAGACACATATAGATAGTTCTCAGTGCTAAGACATATTATATGATAAGCTGAATGATACACACTATTTGATTGGTTCTTACTTATGATCTACCAGAGGACAGATGCATAGATGGCATCGCAATTAACAACATTTTGCTTTATTACCATGTTAAACAAGTAAATTCCATATACATGCCCCTCACACACATTTTTGTTCTTAGCACATTTTAACATCAACTGTGATCTAATAGGGACCTTAAGCAGTCAGGATGGCAATGCCAAGGAAGACTGATTAAAAAATGAATTTCTACTCTTACCATAGTTAGAATTTCAAAAATAGCTGCATGAGCTTATTGTCTCATACAGCGCCACAGCTCAACTTCAGTATGACGTACAAAAGTAGCATTGAGTTCCAAATGGAAATTAAAATATTTACTGTCACGGTTTCGACTCGCAGACGACACAAATTTTGGCGATTTCACATTGTTGTTTTGCATAGGACGGCTAAGAAATGTACAAAGTTTCAAAATGCACATGCTGAGCTATTGTTCTGCCAATTAGATCTCTTGGTTTTCTACGTCCTCATTGCCGTCGCCTTCGCCATCGCCGTCGCCATCGTGGTTGCTTAAGGTCCCTATTATTGAACAGATGCACAGCAACATGGAACCTACTTGTTCATCTGATATGCGACTAGACAGTTGAAGCCAGGTTTGGCTGCACATCACACAGTTATCAGAACTGTTCCTTTTTTATGGAAAGATGTCCAACATTTGTTAAGAGTTGCGGCGCATACAATAGAGAAAAAATTTGAGTCTGGTTCAAACCAAGCCGCTAGATACCCCATTGTTTTTCACCATGGTAAAAACTATGGGGCTCATCAAATCTTTTATGCTCCCATTGGACTGTTCATAAATGGGGTCTTGGTTGAGGTCAGCATCTATTTTAGGCTTATTTCTTAAATTAAGGATAACAAGTACAGTAAATCGTTTACAGAAGCACAAAGTTACAGTAAATCATTTACAGAAGCACAATGTCTGGCCTTTTTGCTTAATTATCCAGCTTGTGTTGTGTGTAACAATGATGGCGCAGATTACTGCTTTGTACTAAGAATTCATTTTTCTTCCTTATCACAATTAAAAAAATAACAGTTTTCCTGATTGGGTACAGAATTTATTAAAGGTGACATTTATTTGTAAATCTGTTTCCATCTGCAGCAGATAAGCAAGGTACTTTGTCAAGTAAGCCACTGAGAACTCATCAGCACATTAATCCATGATCAAGGTTTTTATGTGTCAAGCCTCCTGAAAATGGTAATAGTCCAGGGGTGTAGCTAAGAAATTGCACTGCTGGCTGAAATTCCAAGTAAGGTGGCTCAATGGTAGTGAACGATTGTACGTGTGTAACCTCAGAAATGCCTGTTGTGTTTTACCAAGTGACCACCAGCCAAACATCCAGCCAGCAATCGCTGCTTTTTCATCAGCCAGCAATTAGTGACAACCCTGATAGTCTGCCACATCATACTCATCTTTTCTAATTGCAAGCAAGCAGCTCCTTGCGCTAACTGGGCTAAGTTGGTAAATGAAGCTAAGCAGAAAAAATTCACTCAGCCATAACGCCCTTAGTAACACATACTAGATACTAAAGGGACGTATCATTCAAAATCAAATTAAACACTGTCAGCTGGTAATTTAAATAAAGTTTAACCCTTGTTTATCAAAACCGCACTCTAAACAATCCTAACTTAAGCCAAACCTTTCATTTGAACAACCAGTTTTGTGAACAGTGCGAGGAGGGCCAAAAACTAATGGTGGTTGAACATTTATTTCATAAATCAGCCCTCTTGCAGAGAGGTCCGCTACTTGCATCGCCGTTCGGGTAAGACCTCGAGTAGTAAATATCCACCCCTGTCTTTAATCAACTATTTCTAAGTTAACTCACAGTCACTAACAACTTAACACTTAGATAAAAGATTGTAGATTTGTTGAAGACTGCATATGCAGACACCAAATCCTGTCACAACTTAAATATATGAATAAATTTCAACCATTTTTAGCATATTTATGACTAAGCACCTCAAATGAAACCCAGTAGGAGAATGAATACTATGAATACAAATTTAGGACACAATAGTAAACATCATAGCTTCATTCTTAGAAATTTAATTGTCAACGATCAATGGCTGTAACGGCATACATAAAATTGTATTGTCATAGAGAAGTCAAATCTGGTTTACTGCTGACCAAGGTCAAAGAAAAAACGATAACTATGGTGAATAAGTCAAAGACTAGTAAAATCTCAAATTTAGCTGGTATGTTTTTTGTTTGCACTCAAGCTCCCAAATGAATAAACTGTAACCTAAAAAGTAGATTAACTATACCATAACAAAAATACATTCCAAATTTGTAAATACCCAAGGTCAAGAAAGGTTCAATTTGTTTTCAAAGCTTTTGAGAAATTTACAAAATCAAAGAGCATTAAATGTCTGCCTATTTTATACTTTGAACTGACTTACAAAATGAGCATGACAAAACTGTTTTTATTTCAGAAATTTCATTGTTTACTTCCTTCTTAAAATCAGGTTTCCAAACAAAGGTAACAAGACCAAAAATAGCATCAAACATATTGACATTCTCATGAATATATCCTAATGAAGACTTTTTCTCAAATGATTCAATTCAGTTAGGTCTAAAATGTCACTTTGCTGATGACCAACAAATTGAAAAGTCAATCTCAAGCCTGAACTGTATATTTGTTTACTGATCAAGAAATATGCTCAAAGAATTATTATTTAAGTTAGACTAGTATCATGGAAAATTAGCTTTTGAGCCACAGAAACTTTATTGCACTAAGACTACAACAATCTCAAATATATTTTTTGGAATCAAGCTAATTACATGGAAAATGAATGAAAAACAACCACTCTGTTAAACACTTCTCACTTCGGCTGCTTGACGCTACTAGAACTATCCACTAGAACTATCTTAGCAATAATTTATTATGCAAGGGAAGTTGTAATGCCATCACATAGTTATTCTATTGCATTGCATTCTCTTAATGTCATACTTCTGAATTACAGGATGTACCGTTTACTATTGATGTTGATTTTTTCTTAGACTCAGCATCACCAGTTCACTTAGAGCCATTGGTAAATCACTGATTCAAACATCATACAACTAAACAAAAGTATTGGGCCTTTAGCTAAAATTCACAACTGATGTAGCACTAGTTGCTTTAACAATTACGTAAAGTTATGCTTCACATAAAGGGGCAGTATACATCACACAGCCAAAGAATTAAAAGTTTGACGTTAAGTTCATGAAATGTTTAAATTACATTTCCACTACATTCAATAGGATATTTGATACAATCATTTGCTCACACACAATTCTGGGAAAAGTCCCACAAATTTTATTTGCGTAAACTGCACTGATTGGTCAAAAGTTATTTTGTGTAGTACCATTGATAAAAACTGCTTACGAAGCATACTCCCGAAACCCAATTTAAATGGAAGTCGCTCTCAACAATGAAGTGTTTTCCACGATTGACGGGTCATTGAATGTTATTTGGCACCTTGGCATGGGCTTACTAAGCAAAATTTTTCAACATGAAGTCAGATGCTATATCACCGCGTAGCTGTTGAGCCTACAGTTTTAAGTAAGTCCCCAGTTATAAAAGAATTACAAGCTTAAGTTTTTGTTCAACTATCATCACTTTAATTCTGCTTAATTAAACCTAGGTTTGTGTTGAGCGAATCGATTCAACACAAGGATACTTACTATACGAGATCTCTTGCCATCTACTCACTACCGATATATAAAGAATGAAGCAAAAACTCCATCTCCAACACTGTTAAAAAGTTCTATGACCAAGACATATATTCGTATCAACACAACGGCGTCTACGTCTTAGTCCTCCCTTTGCTTTTCGCAAGAAAAAAATATTAAAAATCCGGTGCGCGTGATGGGTCGAATGTGGCAGACTAATTCTATTTGTCTTACAATGTGTACCCCATCTTTTCATGAAAGTGCTGACTTGGCGCAACCAGATTAGTTAACAATTCCACGAACAGAGCCACTGATATTGGTATACCTCAAAATGGCGGATTCGTAACCTTTTTGATTCTCTGGAATGAAAAGTGTGAGAAGAACCCTGGAGATTCGGTCTATCACGACTGAAAATCATACCACATCCAACATGCTCTTTATGGTGTTGAACGAATCAAATTCAAGCCACGAGTTTGTCAGAGTCGACGAACATCCAGACATTAATCCGAAAGGAATCTTCCAAAGGAACTGCGATAAAATTTTTTGCTCGTCAATTTTCCTTGAAAATGTTTTGGAGTGCGCAAGGAGAATTAATGACACTATTTCTGACCTCGAATGGGAGATTATCTGTGTTGAAACTTACCATTCCTGACGACTCCAGTCTTCCTAAAATTTTGTACAATCCTGCAGTACTTCCGCCTTGACGATTGCAGAGTAACTGGACTCTAGAATACACATTCGGTTCTCCCACTTCCAACCAACGATTCTGCCCTGCTTGATGGTAGAATACAAACGCCCGACACTCCACAAAGATGGTTTCGTGTGGTAAACCTCCGTGATTTTGCGCCATGTAATTTTGAAGGCATCGAGAGAACTCTTTTCCGTTAAATATTCTTCAAGAAGGAAGCATAAAGCATCAACAATCAGAAATCGAAAGTGAAAGTCAAAGCTTATAGGGCGAGTAACGAACCTCACAAAACGTCAGCGTCCAAATAAACACATGAGGACATCCTCTGAACAGGAAACGAAATGGATTGTGGATCGTAGGGCATTACCACTGAACCGTGGAAGCCTGGGTTCTGAATACTGGTGATCTGGTTGCGAACACTGGTGCAAACACTGCACTGGTGCATACAGTACATTCCACGTGCAAATTATTTGTTATTCTCATGCAAATAACTCATTCTTGCACTTAGCCTCGTTTTGAAAATGTGGGGTTTTCGGAAATTGGTCCAGATACTTCTTACTACCACTGCACCCAATATTGTCTTAGCTGACCCACTTGCATCCTTTCGTGTTTATGTGTGGATATGTCCAGCACGTACTAATAAGAAGCCTACCCAAGCCAGGCTTCACAAAAAGGTTTGACATTGAAATAACTATGTATCGATTTCTAATAACAGCATCCAATCCTTTTTCGAGGGTAGTCAACTAACTTTATTTCCTCATTCTCTGTCATTCACACAGGCTAACTCCGCGAATCGTTCCAGAGCGATGCCATTAGAAGGTTTGATATTAAAATAACTATGTATTAATTTCTTATCACAACATCTAATGTATCAGATGCAGGCTCACTCCGCTACTCATTTCGAAGCAATACCATAAGAAATTTTGATATTGAAATACTCCGATGTTTTAGTTTCTAGTGACAGCATCTAGTGATTTTTCGAGGACAGCCAATTAGATTTATCTTCCTCTTTGATATCAGCTCTTCAACAAGTCTTAATGTAGACGCAAAAGTTAAGTTTGGGTAAGGAAAGGAAAAGGGCAAAGTGAGATATGTAGTGGATTGGTTGGTGAACGACGCCTCTAAAGTGTTCCCCCGCGGGTGGATAAGATTAATCATATTAAAAAATGACTATTAATAAGGATAAGAGCCATGTTAATTCACTATACATAGCCGACTCAAGGGCTTGTCCCCATCAGTCATGGACTTGAAAACGAATCTTTCAACAGTTGCGGAAAAGAAATATTATGAGGCAATTGAAAAGTGTTGTTCTATAGCTATATTGCAACTGCTGTTGGTTCGATCGCGTGACTAATTTAATTTGTGATATGTGTGGCATGGGACACTTCAATAATTCACAATGAGTATAATGTTTCATGATCTCTTACCGGTAATGATAGACGGTCATTTTTGTAGCATATGAGGATCTCAATTTGGTAGATTCTCCGATGGGTAATAGCATATTTTAGCTGATTATTATCAACAGCATATTATGACTATACTGTAGTTCTTCAAAAAATCGCTTTATTAATAGCTGAGGCCAGATACTGCGGTTTTGACCCTTAACGCTGAAGACGTCTGATAGCTAAGCTCTTTTTTAGACTGTCAAGTATGGGCACAAGACTGTTGAGAACCGCGTGTTGATATAGGCATACTTTACATTTACTCTAAGAAGAAACTAACGTTGCTTATGTCAACTTAAGTGGTTTATCTTAACCAAACGGTTTCAGTTGTCAGTCAAGTATTTTACTTACCCACCGACGCAGCTCAGTCGTTGCACTGAACATCAAATAACTTTGTCGATCATTTCATCTAGTCGGATCTAATTGTAATGAAAATATGAGTTCTAAATTTAGACACCTCAACCGAAAAAAGCGGATAACAAAATCATTGATCTATAATTAACCCCGGCCTCAGGAAAGGAAACGAACTATGAATAACATTCAGGTCAAATAAGTCAGTCGCTTTCCGGCGAAAAGGGGAAAAATGAAAGATTCCCCACATTATTCCCACATCTCTCAGACAGATTTTAAGGGAGACAAAGCGGAAAGTAGTGCAATCTTACATACTTCAATTAACTTTAAGTTATTTTACCCTTCTCGAGTTCCCGGCTTGATATATCTGCATGTTGATTGTTATCTAATGTTAAGGTTTCTAGCTGACAGGAATTCGCATCCATTTTAAGATTTTAGCCTGAAGAGGGAGGAAGTGCAGTCTAAAAAAATCCCTGTTCACTTATATTACCCATCTCGAATTCCCGGCTTGATATATCTGCATGTTTATTGTTATCAATTGTGAGGTTTCTGGTACCAGTTGTACCAGTAAAGTGTTCTGTATATGATGACACATTCTATTCTGACTACACGGTTTCCGTTGACTTTTAATCTTTTTTCGTTACAGACACATGCAACCAACCATCTACACAATTAATGGCGCAGCTTTTGTCAAATTTCTAGCCTTTACGATATCATTTATTAATTGCTATGGTTTGTATTTTTAGATGTAATAAGAAAGTTAGAAAGATTAATGGAAATAAAACCCGGTTGATCTGATAAATTACTTTATGATTCGTAACAATTACCATGCAGTTCATATGCTAACAAAACCCAACCAATCACTGAAAGGATTGCTAAATACGGGCCCTGTTAACTTTGAAGCTGACAGGTAGAAGTGACGTCGCCGGTGGGGTACGTGCAGACTAGAACAGTGAGCCAGGGAAAAACTTGACAATGGTGAACGATTTCAACAACATAAATATGTTTGTAAGGCAGGATTACTTGAAAAAAGTATCCGTTTCAAAGAAAAAAAGCAGTCGAGGACAAATAAATAAATAAAAAACGATGGTTTTAGTTTTACCAATTTGTTTTCCCTCAAAAGAAGACTGGATACTAGAGAGCGTATGAGGGTGGCTCGATAATCAACCGCTGGTCGGGAAATGAGCCAACGATTTGCGTTTTGGAAGAACTGGGGGAATTAGTAATAAACAAGTCAGACACTATGCGGCTGTAACGTCTTTATTGGCAAACTTTATATTTCTTTACGTACACGAAGTAAAATGTTTCTGTCAATAAATACAACAAAATTCTCAAAAATTATAAAGTAAAACAATAATATATTTTTTCTCACGTTCGCGTAGTAACAGCATTTACAGCTTATATTTCCCTTCAAAAGAGAAATTTGCACATTCACTCGGTAGTTAAAAATGAAATATATTATTATCATTTAATAATTGTTTAAATTAAAAACGAGGTCACAAGAAGACCAAAATATTCTCTCGAAACAAAAAATAATAGGAAAAACAAGGATTATTTTTTTCGAATCTTGGGATCAAGAGGTATTTTTTCAGACCATAAGATGCAGAGAAGAAATATTGGAATTTTATACCACCTGACAACTATTCTGTTATGAAAAGATTGTCATGAGTTCAGCACTAGAATTGTCAACAATTTTCTAACTAAAGAATATAATTTTTTCCCTCTTTTGGTTTAGAGCCCAAAGTAGAGGAAAGCTACAATACAGCTGAACTAAAAAAGAAAGTTAAGTAGCACTTGTGAACTTCTTTATCAAGAATTTGGCGGTCTTTAAAAGAGATTTTAGGGTCGTTTTGGAGTAAATGCAGTGGAATGGTGTCATGTTTCGTGATTTTCCACCTGTGTTGTTAAATCTCGTACTTTTTGTGCCCAATACTCACTGCTTTGCTGTAGTTGAATTGAGAGCTGCAAAAGATAACAAGATACAGCAGTTGAAGATCAGCCTGCAAGAGTCAAATTAAGATATTTTTTCTTGATTTTAAAAGTTCAACGGTAATGTGACGAAGTGCAAAAATAAATTGTAAGCTTCTTCGTCCACTTATTAGTTTCGTCTTAAGATTTAATAGGAAACTTCATTGACAAAAGTTAATAAAAAGTATGTATCTCTTCACGACTGCACAAACAACAGAGTTATACACGGCACGTTTCAGACAACTCAGTAAAATAAATCTCTGACGCCCAGGAAAAGGGTGCATCCAAGGAAAAGCAATGAGTGAAATGCTAGTAATTGTTTCTGATATTAAAAAAACGCAAACATAAACCATCTACTTAACGTAATATGTTAAATAAAAAATATGTCTTTTTTTAAAAGCGAGAAACGAGAAGTATACACTGAAAAAGGTAAGTGAGTAACTTGAATGTAGGAAATATCCCCTGTCATTAGGTTATAACCTAGTAGGTTATCACACTTAAATCCAAAACGCTTCAGGTTTGCTGAGATCTAAAAACAATTTCGGTTTCTACATTTCTTGAAATCATTGATCTCGCTTGAATAGGAGGTCAGTTTCTCCTTGCTTGCTCGCGGCATACCTCACCGACTCTCTGAATCCAATACGACTTATCCAGTATTTGAGGATCCTTCACACCAGCTTTCTCCATTTCCTTTCTCATTATGGACCTCACCTGCATCAACAAAGACAAACATTTCTCACAAGTCTGAAGATGAAATAGTCATTTCATAACAGCCTTCGTGAGAGCTATCTTGCTAAGACTCCCAACTCCCTTGTCGCCGCTAGCATTTGAAAACACCATGCAATTTTAGAATTGTAATTTGCAATGCATGTTTATTGTCTCCATCCTAAAGCATCTTTGTTCACTTATTGGTTCATTTAGTATCGCACTTGATTGTTTCAAAACGTTTCAAACTATATTTAAAGATCTTATTACAATATTAACAGCAATTTTCAGCGACCAAAATTACAACAAAAAAAGCATCTCTTAATGTGCAAAGTGACTCTATTAATGCAAAACTTTTTAAGTGACGTTATTTTAGTCTTTCTTTTTCCTTTGTCCAAATATGTTGTTATATCTTTTATATTTAAATATCATTGTTATTATCTCTTCTTGTCACCTGTATATATAACCTATTGTGTAATTAGCTTTCTTTGTGTCACGATTTGTACAGATAATGCGTACTCCTTCACTCATATTTTGACTTGATAATGACGTTATGCTAACGTCGAAACGTCGTCCTAATTAAAATGTTTTTTAACTATAGTTTTTTTAATCGCTGAATTTCCTGGTTAAATGTTACAATAAGTCGCTACTTATACAAAATAACAAAAGATTTGTTATCGTAGTTATGATTGATGATCATAATTCATGTTTAAAGTGAACTCATTTAACTCGTCCGTTATATGCCAATGAGTTTGTTACCAAATGCCAACGAGAAGAACAATTAAGAACATTTATTCAAATACAGCTTTGCGCTGAATTTTCCCCGTGAAAATTCCTAATCAACCGATGCTGCAAAGGGTACTGATTTTCGTCGGGGTGACGTGATTGTAAAGTCACACAAATCATCAAAAGAGCGAGTTTTAATATAATGTGTCTAATGTTCTCGTGACCTGTTTGGGCGCGCACAAGTGATTCACGTTGGAATGTACTTGACTGTTCAAAACAAGTGGTAACCGCAGGTAGCCTAGAGCATTCTATGGAGCCAGGAGGTCATGAATGTACGCACATGCCTGTACTGCTTTTGAATAGACTTGCCTTTTTGCTCATTTCTGTGACTTCACGGTCACCACTTCACGATGAAAATCATTACCCTTTGTAGCATCGGTTGACTGGGAATTTTCAGGGGAAAACTCAGTGAAGATGTATTTAAGTAATTGTTCGCTACTATTCTCATTAGCTTCAGTGACAAACTCATTAGCATGTAACGCCGGAACAGGTTCTACGAATTTCACTCGGATAAGTTATTAGTTAGAGGACGATTACAAAAATAGACTGAATGGACTCAAGACAAGTTAAAAATAAAAACACGTAAATGAAACCTTTACCTTGTCTTTTTGAGCCGACTTTTGCCTGTAAAATAGGGGAAAAAAGAGCCTTAAGTCCAAATAGTACGAATTAGAGAAATCGTTTGAATACGAAGACGAAAACTGAACGATGTACATCCGAATCTAATTGCCTACCTAGAGGAAATGTGGATAGAATACGGATTTTACTTACAGTCCTTTGTCGATAGACGAATAAGCGGAGTCATTCAAACCATATGCATCAATCTGAATAAGAAAAGTTTGTTAAAAAATTAAACTTCGAGGTTTTGAGGGCAGCCCTCTGAAATAAAATCCAATCTGAGATTTTCATCAGACTTTGACTATTGTCCATTTATCGTGCAGGAAAAAAATGGGGAATTGTTTTGCACTTTCAGGGCCAGTGGCATTGCGTATGTGCGTATTCATACCACTGTGCATGAGAAACTCGCATCACGTGACTGGTACTTACTATGTGGTCGGTATCTCTGTGTGGTACCTCAGCAAATTTGTACGACTCTATCTGAGCTTTTAGAGCCATTACAGCTTGATCACGTGATTCTAGTTGAAGTTGTAGGCTCTATAGAGAAAACAAAACCACAAGGCCTTCATCGTCAAACAAAAATGCTTAACAGCTATTGTCAACGTTTGAAGAAAACTTAAGGAGATGCTTACAATCAAATACTGCCATACTGAACCTTCTGGCTTTATTATCGTTGTCGCTGAAATGGCAGTTACTGGTATCTGGTACAATCATTTATAGAATTTTTCCTTAAATACGAAAATTTCCCTTCCCGCTATGTACAAATTCAGCATTGCAACACAAGGCGTGACAGTTCAAATCTAACACATCAAACCATGGTCAAACCGAGGTATATGGGCGAATAACTAGTAAAGAGTGCACCAATCAGTGATAAATTATTCGAAGCTAAAAATTCATCACAATAAAATTTTGCACGTACACCATTTTGGTTTCACGAGGACATACTGAACATCATAATCACCTTCCTAGCTGCAGCTTCTCTATCTATAATATGTCTTTGTCGGAGATTTTCTTTGTTTAATGAGTTAAGCTGTGGAGATAAAGGCAAAGAGTTCAAGAGAAAGAGATTGGTAGAACTCAAAAAAGAAATGCTAAGGGCGAAAATGTCAAATCAACGACTTGTTGATTAGACATAAAACTTACTCGATTGGCGCACTAAACGCCAATGAAGTAGCTAGCGCAAAATCCAGATCCAAGAAAGGGAAGGGATTCACATTTTTAGCACAATGGAATCCCAATTAAGCAACAGAACACATTTTTCCGGGTTCTATAACGTGATAAAGCCATGTAGGATGTTGGGAGAACACGAAAAAAAGCATATAAATCAAAACTGCATGAAAACTGACCTGTTGATTGAGTTGTTGAATACTTTCCACGTTTGACTTCAATCTACCATGAAGATCTTCAATGGCGTGAGCCTTACTCATCGCCTCGGTATTTTGGTCGGTTCTGTAGAGAAAAACAAAGCATAACGCTAACGCTTGAAATTATACACACGGACTCTCAAAAGTGCGTAAAAACAAAAAAAAAAACAAACATCTAAATAATCGTGATATGGTTCTGGTCTTTGAGGCGTGTAAAGTATTACAAGTTAATTTATTTACTGATTATCGTTAACATGGTAGCCTGCTTATCAGTCTTTCCATTTCCCATTCAAACCAGGGGAGTGGAGGAGGTGAGAAACGTTAACTCTGAGAAGAAAAAACAATTCGCCTATTCGCCCCATGCCTTCTCGCGTCTGCCGCAAAGCTCGCGCTAAGATGGTAACATCGGAAACTGAATCAAGGGTAGAGGGTCATTACTTGAAAATGTTTGTAACATTTCCTCAGTACAACAAAAATCTCATGCGCGGTTTATTGCGAGGTTTCAAACGTGATAATTTCATAAATTGAAGGAAAAGAATGATTTCGTGCTCAAGCATTCTTCAGAAATGTGCACATTCGCGCTATATAGTTTTCCCAGTGATAATTTACTTCAGGTAACACCCGTGGCGTGAATTTCTTTCGTTATAAATAGCAGAGCCTAATAAGGGTAGGTACCAACAGCTATTAACATTTAATCTGGACTTGATAATTAGATTCGATGCTGATATTAACATTTCTTTGTAAAACAATCAAGCAAAAAATTCAGAACGCTTTGGCGTCTCACCGAACTTCAACACGCAATGGGAGCATAAACGGATGAGCCGAGGCTGAACAAAAGCAAAATCAATTCGTCTAAGAAAACGATTACCGTTTTAAAATGCAAGATCCAGATTGAACGCACGTGATAACTTTCCTTGACTAAATCCCGGATCGACTCAATCGAGTAGAATTCTTAACCATAGTTCTAATACAGGCGGGGGGAGGCGCGTTCAATGGTAACGTAGAGTGTTTGGTGGAAACATTACGACGTCCCGTTTGCTCCGAGTAATACAACACAGTAATGACTAGCTGGGTGATATGATGCGGTATCTAAAAGTTACCGGTTAATACTCACTCATATTCTTGAAGACGATTGCGAAGTTGATGGAGCAGCACCTGTTGCTGAGCAGAGTGCGACTGTAAGGACTGTTGGATAATAATAAAAAAGAAATTGTAATGAAATGCTTTGTATTACTTTCTAAGTGTATTTTCCCCTGGTTTTCTATTCTTGTAGACATATGAATAAATTTATATGAGAATTTCCTGCAATAGGAAAAGTATTGCCCTTAACGTTTTTCTTACTTGAAGGTATCAGTTTAAGGAAGGCAAGCTTTTCCGGTTACTAAAAAGAGATAATTTTAGAACAGAAAAGTAAAAGGGAGGTATCAATACAGCTCTAAACATTTAAGGATTGTTAGACAATCAATCCAAAACAAACCCGGCTGAGAATTTAGTTTTTTATAAGAACCGATAGCGAATGTCAACAGGCTACTTTTCGCAACACTGAAATAAACGTTCCAGATTTCACCGCCTACAAAACTAAATCATGTCCACTCACGTGCGAGAAAGCAGGACACAGTCCTTGACAGTTGAGACAGGCAAAACTAAGTTGATGTTCGAATCGAACATAACACGAACAGTTATGTAGTGGGTTAGTGCAGCGGCCACGGATCTTTCCAAAGCCGTCCAAGTTTGTTAACGAACCGAAGAATGGTTCACCAATGCAGAGAAGAACTGAACTATCCCCGCTATGGACAGAATCGCCATCACAATCGGCCATCATCAAAGTTGAACTTGCTAAAGAAAGCCCTCTGTTTGTTGAACTTAGAACGTTACAATTCTGAGGCGCAGATATTTCGTTCAAACCACAGTTTTTTTTTTCACCTAGTGTCGACTTTCTTTTTGAATTGATAAATCAAGATGCGTTATGAAAAATCTAAGTAAGCTATTAACAAAATAGCTCTTCAAGTAAGTCGTCCTTCGAGCTAATTTGTGTCTCCAGGTTGCAGCTGTTGGTCTGTTTCGTTTTCAAATTCTACAATAGGTTTCGCGTATTAGGTTATAAATGTTAAATGTAAGAAGAATCCTCGAAACGTCTTCTTTGTTTAAACTTCACAAACACTGAGAAACGTGGACAAAAGTTATTTTTATTTTTGTTTATAATACGTTAATTAAAGAACGTTACGATGAAAAATGCAGGTGTTTTTAAATTCCTTTTACTGCATAGTTTTGATAGTTAAAAAGATGAATTTTATAGAACGAAATTTACTTCTTAGAAGAAATGAAGGAGAAAAACCTTCAAATTTAAAGTTTACTGGGGGATAAGATATTGAATAGCGGTAACATACAGGTATCAAAAACCACAGTAATCCTGATGGACATAATTATCACTAATTGCTTAAATTAGCAGCAACACCTTGAACCACAATATTCAATTAGACGACATAAATATGATAAATATTTTAAGCCACAAGATTGGGAAGAAAACGAAACAAAACTCGTGATACTGACCACAACATCAAGAAAAACTCTGCAAGACTGCGAGCCCAATTTTACATTACAGGGAGCGAAAAAGCAATTCTTGACACAGCTTACAAAATTTTGAAAAAGGCTTAAACTAAAAAGCGGATTGGAAAACTAACCTTTAATCGTTCACTGTCCACTCTTCTTTCCTCTAGAAGATGAAGAAATTGATATAAAAAATTATATATATAATTGAGAACTCGTACCTATTGAAAAAGCAGTTAATCTAAAGTGATTCAGAGTTTTCATGCGATGGCAATGTATCCAAAATTTTTAAGGTCATCAGTACTAAAAATACAAAAAGTAAAGTGCTTCTTTTCTCGTGGTAAGTTGTAATATATATTTGCTCTTAAACTCTTTAACTCCCAAGATTTGATGTATATTCTCCCCTCTAGCTGCTACACATTTCCTTGTAAATTGGTTACAAGAATTTGGTGTTCAATCAAGGGAACAACTTCGACCTGATAAGCTTGAGTATTCTCATTACCTGTTTGCTGGATAATGCATGGATAATAAAGGGAGAGGTTACATGTTAACCACCTCTGGGAGTTAAAGAGTAATCATGCTCTGATGACTCCTTCGCGTTGGTTTCAAGCGGCCTCTCTTTCTCGTTCCTAGTATTACCTGCTTTGAGACCACAAAAGAAAAATTATGATTCGTAACGGGTGAAATTACCTAATTCAGTCTTCATAGCAGCATTCTCCTTTTTCAGTGATTCTGTTGACTCAGCAAGTTGCCTAAAACGAGAAGGGAAATCTCATTAATATGACAAAATGAACAGGAGATTGAAAAGGATTCAACGTTAAATGCGGGAAAAAATACTTACTCTTTTTCCAACTGTAGAGCAGAAATTCGTCCGTCTTGCTCTCTGTAGAAATAGGAGTTTGCTAATTAATCAATCTATCAATGAGGCGATCAGATAGACAGAAAAAAAGGCAGTCAGTCTTTAATTCAGGATTAATGTCCAGAATTGAACGCAGTCAAATAACTTACCTCAATCTTCCGGCTAACCTTTCGTTCCCTTCCCTGAGAAAAAAAGAGCGAAAAGTTTACAACCAAATATCCTACATTTTGACTTGTACCCAGTCTTGCGTCCAGAGTCATTTTGGCTCTTTGTCAGCGCCAATACCGCTGACAAGGAGCCAAATGACCCTGGGCTCGAGATTGACCTGTGCCAAACATCAAGGAAGAACTCACTTCTGCTCCTTAACCCAGCTGCTGACATTTTCCACAACAAGTTCGCTTTCACGATGTAACCGATCGCCATTTGCTCGAGCGTCCTCTAGAGATACGCGAAGGGTTTGGACCTGAAAAAAGTTGTAAAGAGTAAGGAGAGTCCGCCCTCGTTTACAGGGTTTGGGAAGAGCATAGACCATGGGAACGAGAGAGGCAGCGACAAGGATCATCATTGCCAGCTGACATCTCTTCTGATGAGAAATTTGTGACTACTGCCAAAATGAGAGGATTTCAAGCCAGAGCAAGGCGTTTTCCATTCATCAAAAGATTCCGGACGTTGAATCGATTCAAAATTTTCCATCAGAACGCGCAAAAATAGCTCAACAAGGATTTTCAAAATCTTTTGGTCAATGAAAAACACCTTGCTGAAGTAAAAGGTTTTGCTCTTTGATTAACACTTCTACTCTAAAAAAACCCTTACGGTTGGAAAACTACAGGCAATGAACAACAAATTGAGATTAGCTTTGGCATTTCGCAAAGCTTTTATATTTCATGTTAAGTAGAAATACTGAAATTCATAACAAACGACTTACATACAATGAATTTCACAACTATATTCACGACCATGGTGCCATCAAAACTCACAACATACTTATTGGTATGAATAATCGTCTTTGACGCCTACCTCTTCTATGCAGCTCTGATGCTGCTGTCGAGATATGTGAAATTCTTGCTTGAGTTTGTCATTCTACAAGAAAAAAAAAAAAACATCTCATAATTGATTTATTTCTCCAGCGGTTTCGATGACTTTTTCCATAAGTGACTGCCGATGGTTTTTAACAGCTAACGGTTACAATTTTGGCCATTTTATGGCTAGCAGTCAACATCTCTCCAGTGTTGTCACCAGAAAATTTTTTATCGGTTAACTATCTTCATGACTAACGGTTAAAATTTGTAAATTTTTACGCCTAACGGCGTAAAGGCCTTAATTCAAAGTTCGATTTGAATCACAGACAAAATATTTGAAGTTAGCTAATAATATATATATATATATCCTAGCATTAGCACTGCACTGATGAGGCCCAGAAGGCCGAAACAGTACTGTCTGCAGTTAGATATAGCTCTTTGGCATACAAAGCTTTGCTTTCATGTCCAAATTGAGCACTCTATCTAGGATGAGTCATTGCCGTTGCAATTGCGCATGCTCGCTGGTTTACTCTAGTTTGAGCACTCTGGCATGGCTTAGACGATACCACAAAGGTTGGGTCGTTTGGGGTGACCGTCTCGGTTCTCCCCCATCCTAGCATTAGCACTGCACTGATGAGGCCCAGAAGGCCGAAACAGTACTGTCTGCAGTTAGATATAGCTCTTTGGCATACAAAGCTTTGCTTTCATGTCCAAATTGAGCACTCTATCTAGGATGAGTCATTGCCGTTGCAATTGCGCATGCTCGCTCGTTTACTCTAGTTTGAGCACTCTGGCATGGCTTAGACGATACCACAAAGGTTGGGTCGTTTGGGGTGACCGTCTCGGTTCTCCCCCATCCTAGCATTAGCACTGCACTGATGAGGCCCAGAAGGCCGAAACAGTACTGTCTGCAGTTAGATATAGCTCTTTGGCATACAAAGCTTTGCTTTCATGTCCAAATTGAGCACTCTATCTAGGATGAGTCATTGCCGTTGCAATTGCGCATGCTCGCTGGTTTACTCTAGTTTGAGCACTCTGGCATGGCTTAGACGATACCACAAAGGTTGGGTCGTTTGGGGTGACCGTCTCGGTTCTCCCCCATCCTAGCATTAGCACTGCACTGATGAGGCCCAGAAGGCCGAAACAGTACTGTCTGCAGTTAGATATAGCTCTTTGGCATACAAAGCTTTGCTTTCATGTCCAAATTGAGCACTCTATCTAGGATGAGTCATTGCCGTTGCAATTGCGCATGCTCGCTGGTTTACTCTAGTTTGAGCACTCTGGCATGGCTTAGACGATACCACAAAGGTTGGGTCGTTTGGGGTGACCGTCTCGGTTCTCCCCCATCCTAGCATTAGCACTGCACTGATGAGGCCCAGAAGGCCGAAACAGTACTGTCTGCAGTTAGATATAGCTCTTTGGCATACAAAGCTTTGCTTTCATGTCCAAATTGAGCACTCTATCTAGGATGAGTCATTGCCGTTGCAATTGCGCATGCTCGCTGGTTTACTCTAGTTTGAGCACTCTGGCATGGCTTAGACGATACCACAAAGGTTGGGTCGTTTGGGGTGACCGTCTCGGTTCTCCCCCATCCTAGCATTAGCACTGCACTGATGAGGCCCAGAAGGCCGAAACAGTACTGTCTGCAGTTAG